GGCTTCGGGGGTTCGGGTATGGGCACGCCGCCTGCAGCTTCTGCACAGGGTGGAGGGCCAATAAGGTGCTATGGAATTCCACGGTACTACTGTAAACTGATGATAGGGGAGGAGGAGGTGGTATGGTGGGAAATTAGTGGCAATAAGGACGAAGCCGGGGGTTATGAAATACTGCGTGTTGTACGTGTTTGGGTAGTCGGGTCCCCGCGGGTCGCTTCGTATGGCGAGATGGAATTCCCTAACGTAGAATTTATCGTTTTCTGTGAGGCAGGGGAACACCGGGTTCCTCAAACTTCCCCGTAATCGGAGTTGCTCTTCTTCCCAGATTTTCCGGTACCCGAAATACGACTCGTAATCCTCGAAATTCCAAGATACGTCGGAACTCCGCGAGCTAATCATTCTTTCATCACTCACGCCTTGGGGGATAAGTTAATCGGGGAGATCACCGCTCGTAAGTGCGTAAGAGAGATGCGAACAAGTCGCACTTACTCGTGATGGGTAACCCGATCCTGATTGACATCGAATCCTACTTCAGCGAGGGGCTGGCTACGCGCGTTAGCCAAGACGCGATTGGCGAGTCCGAGTGGTATGGACACATGTAAGTCGCGCTCCGTCCGGATCGCACTTGCATGTGCCCATATGGTACGTCGGATGATGCGCTCCAGACTTCCCGTAAGGTACGACAAGCCAACACACTCTATTGATCACGCCAACATGCAATCCCCATTTTCATTCATCATGTACGAGGGTTCGCAGGAAACAATAAAAAACGAAAGGCGAGGGTGCGCGAACCATCCATACATCATTTGCAAAAGAGGATTCCGGAGAAGGAGAGAAAAAGGAGAAAACATCGATGAAGAACCAAATCGAACAACAGGACGAGTATATGGCCGCAAAGACAAGGGCGAATTGCCCATAATCGACACCAAAATTTATATACACATATAAAAAGAGGAACGAAAAGAAAAGCGCAAATCCATGTCCATCCTCAACCTCAACTCTCTCTCCTCTCTCTCTCTCTCTCTCTCTGATGCCGACAGTCCGTCGTCGCGCATCAACACACGAAGCCGTCACCCCGCTTGGTCCTCCTGCGCCCGTCAGGTTCGCTCCGCGCCCACAGTCCGTCGTGGCCCCCGTCAACCCCGCGTATTCGGCACCAGCTCGTCGGGTCGCCCGACTCCCACTTCACTCACCTCTTAGTTCGCCCGTGTGCCGACCCTCTCGATCGCGCGACCTCGAGCTTCCAGCAACTGTTAAGAGAGCAAGTTAATCGCGCAACTGGAATTTATAGTGTGCATGTATGCGCGAAGAACACGGAATTACAAGGACGTAGATAGATGGGGGAAAGGGAGTGCTTACGTTTGCATGGTTAGGCCGCGGCGTGGGGGACGTACCCAACTCCACGCATCGATCCGAACATGGAAACGCGGCTACCCAGATAGGGAGGGGAGAGAGGAAGAAACGAGGCGGGAAGAATAAGGAGCAAGAAACAGAAAGATACAGTTACAAAAGTGTGCGCCCAAAATTACAGTTGCAAAAGGATTAAGGCGCCAATCAATCAAGATCCTGGCGCAGCAGCAAAAAAGAGCGCGCGAACATGCAAAGCAGCGTCCCAGAAAAACAGAAATTCCAAAATTCCTAAATTCCTAGCTAGCCTGCCGATATTATGAAAAGGTCCAAAAAGAAAATCAAAATTCTGAAGGCCGTATGGCTCCGACCAAGATTCGAAAAGAAAATTCAAAAAGGAAATTCAAAAAGAGACACCGAAATTCCCGCACGATGTCTACGCGTCCAAAAGTCCGACAAAACAAAATTAAAAGAAGGGAAACGAAAGAAAAGAAGCGACGTCAACGTTTATTAATCGCGCACTCGGCGCGCACTCCGCATCCATCCGACCAAGTTTCACCCCCTTTTCCCCGTGCATTCCCGAATTGTCCCCAACTGTCATCAGGGGCTCGTGCGAGAACGAAGAAACAACGAAGAAAGCAAGGACACACATGCAATTTTTCCGTGAACCCGTCCAGTCGACGTGGGACCCCGCTTAGCACTTCGCGCCGAAATTCGTCACATTTGCAAGGATATGCGATGACCTAGTAGATGGGTGGATATTACGCGTCTTACTAGTGAGGGGGCTAGCTAGTAGGATAGGAATACGACATAGCTAAGTCTTGCCGGAGTGGGGTAAAGAGGCTTGAGGAGGTTCAATGAGCAATCAATGAGCAGTGGGTAAAAGGTCCGTAGTATACACAGGTTCTTAAAAATTCCTTAACGTTTCCTTAAAAGAACCTTCATATGGGACGCTGGGCCCGGTTCCCAGCACATGCTGCTCCCCACGAATAGATAAAAAAAAAAAAAAAAAAGATAGCCAAGTGGCTTTGTTAAATGGCCAGGATTGGGTAGTGTGCAGTTTAAATCTATTCTGATACAGGTCTTAGCTTATGCTACAACCCCCCCCCTTTTTTGAGAGCTTCAAGTCATATCCCTTTTTTGGAAAGATTATTTTGTGTATGGGACGCTGGACCCGGTTTCCAACAAGTTTTCAGGAGAAGGTTTATAGCTAGTTGGTTGCAGGGAGCTTACTCTGGGTCGTTTTGTGAGGTCCCCGGCCTCGTGTCCGATACATTTGCAATATATTGATAAATCTTTCCCAAAAAAAAAAAAAAAAAAAAACTTTGCAATCTGCTGGGCAGTGCTCTGGAAGGCAGTCTTACTTTCCTGTTTGTCAGTAATTGAGTATCATGTATGTTCCCCTTGCAGTGAATGATGTTTATCTCTGAACCTTTACCCCTTCTCATTTTACCCCTCTTTTCCTCTGACTCAAAACAGGCCTTAGGAACACACCCAGGGGTGGTATCAGTCAATTGCAGGCTCGGCAAAATTCAAATTTAGGCTCGTACATTTAGCCCCGGGTGTACTGGTGGTTCAAAACTACGCTAGTGGGTCCTAGCTCCTGAACTACGTTTTTTTTCCCCTTCTTCGCAGGCCATGCTGAATCTTCTCTGTATCGTTCCAATTGAACTGCGTTTTGCCCAGGGGCACTTTCTGGAGGACTCGCGTAGGGCCGACAACAGGCGGCGGCCTCGCCTTCCCGCTTTCCCGGGCCTGGCGCGGACTATCAGTGGTTGACGTCACTTGACTGCGCCTGCCAAATGGATGACGAATGTCCTCTGCATGGACCCGATCGACGGTACATGCTGGGACTATCAGTAGTTGGGCATATGCACTTCGACAGTCCGATGGGCGTTTATTTGCTTCCAGCCGCTTCGACGCGTCAGCTTTAGCACATGGAGTCCTCTGTAGGTAGCAGAAGACAACTTACCAGTAGGGTGCAGAGGCGAGAACGGCCAGGTGGCAACTCCTGAAGGGGCATGATTTCCACGGCCGGAGAGCAGTGACAGCACAGCGGTGCCGCCGCTGACGAACGGGCGTTGAGTTTTCGCTTCGGTAGAAGAGAAGCCAGCCAATGGTGCTGCCCTTCATGCTGGTTTCGTTTTCCAGACGGGCATAGTTACGCTAGCACTTTCCTAGGTGTACCTGATTGCAATTATGACAAGACCTGGATGAATCTAACCACAATCACGTCCAAGGCTTAGTAGAAAACGTACTAGCGCCTTTGGAAATTGCGATTTGCATAGCACATACTTCATTTTTATTCTAGGGTCTTTAGTCATCATCGTGGGTGGATCATAGTTCACTTTTATTCTAGGGCCTTTAGTCATCGTGGGTGGATCATGTTGTCTACTGTTGCGCGTGCTGCGCGTTTTTGTTTCTTTTTCAAGCCTCCAACGAGGGAACATGCGGGAGGTGCACCCACCAGCAGGTGCGATACCTGCTACAGCAGGTGGGCGATACCGGCCAGGGGTAGGCTTAGTAGAAAACGTACCAGCGCCTTTGGAAATTGCGATTTGCATAGCGCATAGTTCATTTTTTTTCTAGGGTCTTTAGTCGTCATCGTGGGTAGATCATAGTTCACTTTTATTCTAGGGCATTTAGTCATCGCGGGTGGATCATATTGTCTACTGTTGCGCGTGTTGCGCGTTTCTGCGTTTTTTGCTGCCCTCTTGCTGTGCGTCTCATATTGCCCTCCCTCTTACTCCGTCTGTGTTGCGGTCGCTTCTCTGGCCGTACATCTCGCTGGCTACCATAGCTCAACCCAGCGGCACGCTGGACGGCACGGTGGTGACGACGGTCCGTCAGCCGTTGTTTGCCGACGATCCACGCCGGAAGCCGCTGCACGATTTCATCATGAAGATCGCAGTCTTGGTGATGGCGCTTGGTAGCGCCCTTTTGTTACTATCCCTTGCACAAGAAGGGAAGAGCGAGGGTATCCGTATGAGCCGGGAAATGGGTGAGATGAAGGACGCGTCATCGCCTTACGCCGGGGCAGCATATTCAATCTCTCAGCAGGGACGGGGCGTGGAAGACGGTGTCGACGGTGTGGATAACGGCGCCTCTCCCGACCCTACTCTCGTTGTACTCGAGGAGGTCAAGTACGCGGGATCCGGATGTGGACATGGCGCTGTGAAAGGAGTCTTGTCGAATGACGCCAAATCTCTCACTCCCATCCCTGATGATACCGACGTGAAGATCGTTGCCAAGTCCGGACCCGGGGCTTCTCTCTCCGACTCGAGGAAGAACTGTCATTACAGCGTAGTCATGACGCACCCTGCGGGATGGAGCTATGCTCTCGCCTCTGCTGAGTTCGATGGATCGGTCGACCTCGAAGGTGGGGCGACCGGGATTCAGGACGCGTACTATTACTTCCAGGGTGTCGGGAAGAACTGTGCCGTTCTGCCGATCTCAATGGACGGTCCCAGGACGGAGAAGTTCCAGACGGGCAATAAGACTTTCGAGGAGCCGCTTTGTTGGTCTCCGTGCGACAACGAGAGGTACCTTCAGATCAATGTGGCCGCCCGTGTGAGAGGTCGTGGTGTTAGGGGCGTGCTGTCCATCGAGAAGCAGAAGTTTTTCTTGAAGTGGAGAAAGTGCTCCGATGATGAGACTGCTTAAGGGAGCAGCAGATCGTGAAGCTTTCATTTTGATATGCCTTGATAGTGTGCGTTTCGACCTTGTCGTCGATGATTGAGCGACGATGAGTGCATCAATCAAAGGCTTGATCGGGTTTTTGAGGAGACGGATAAATCAATCATTCATCCATCGGCCATGGTGATGCGTGAGCGTAGCGGCGCTGAAAAACTGGGAATATTGCGCGCGCCATTCGTCCACACTTCCTCGTATGGGTTGTAAGACGATTGGTTCAGGTCTCTCTGCCTGTTTGTGTTAAATCAGGGGCGCGTATATCGTCGGGATACGAAAGCGGCGGCTGGAGAAGGGAAATGAACGACATGAAAAATGGAATGATTAGGGACTTGTAGAGAGGCGTTTTCTTATTTCGTTTCTTCCTGAAGTTTCGGCAGTCCCGACGAGTTTCACACGGTTCGGCGTTTCGAAATCGTTCGTGTACATGACGTGCATGCCATTTATCGCTTTACTTGCCGGGGCGTGCACGAAAGACGACCAAGCAGAGGTCTCGGAGAGGCGTACAACAGGGTAGATGTGTTCAGTGGAAAAGCGCCGGATGCGGTGAGCTTCAAAATAGGCCTAGTGTTATTCTGTTTGCCTTTTCTCGTCTTTTCTTTTTATCTCCGCGGACTGTAGGAGTGGCAGGCACGCATTTGTTTCCCCCTTGCGACTGCTGCTTTTTTACCTCAAGGTCCAGGTACCTCGGTAAGTGAATCGGGAAGATGGTGCTGGGTTTGATCCGACGGTGTCGGTTTGACTGCCCGAGGATCTTACCGAAGCAGGCTTTTCGGTGCCGAGCAAGATGTGGCAGAAGTGAATTGGATGGCGATGGAGATCTCGAATCAATGAGGCGCGGTGGTCTGGAAGTGGTCGAGAATGGCAAGCGTCATTGGGTGAGGAAGTTGTGAGGCAAGGAGGGACTCGTTTGTGTGACGGGCGATCGTAAGATGTGTATATGATGAGTGTAGGGGGTAGGAGTCGTCCGAACGCATGCTTTATGAAGTGGTGGTATGTCTGATCGAATGGCGGTCGGTTTGACATCGCGTTGGAGGGAAATCACTGATACTTGTACAAGAATTACTATTGGAAGAAGCTCATCGTGGGCTATGAACTCCGGCGAGGCTCTGATTTGACTGAATGGCTTTTGGAACGTCTTGTCTTCTGTTTATCGTATTCTGTCGTGTACCCTGTCCTCTCGAATGATTTTCCTCCTTCTGGAACTTACGAAGGCGCATGCAAATGCTCGTTTGTCGTTCTGTTATCGCCTCTAGTCTGTGTTTCACCTTTCGTGCCTAAGGCCCACTCTCTCCTCCCACGATTTTCGCTCCTATTTTGTTGACCGTCGTGATGTTCGCTGTCTTTTTCCGAAATCGACGGGTTCCATTGCCTTGTTTGCATTGGCTCTTTCTCGTTTCCGGCTTTTCTGTGGCTTCTTCCCTGTTTTGTTAGCGTTTTCATAGTAGCGTCTTTCATGTATATCTCCCTCTCGGGTTTTCGCAGTGCGATGCCCGCTTTGCTTTGATTTGGTTCGATGATTTTGTCTTGATGTTTGCTGCCGTCGCTGGCGGCAATTGTAAATTCCGAAGCGCAATCGGTTCCCAGCGACTAGACGGAATGTCATAATTGCCGAGGCCTATCAAGAGTGCGAATGGTTATCCGCGGGTTGTGAGAGAGGTGAAGGATTTAAAATCGTCTTCTGTTTTTGTTTTGTAATCCGAAGTCTTGTTTTTGCATTTCGCTCTCTCTCGTCTCTTCAAGCTGTTGCATCCATCGGTAGCAATGGGTCGATATTTGCCCCGTGCAGTAGCAGAACGTAACGACGGAGATGTAGCTACCGACGGAGCGAGCTTTCCCCGAGCACATTGGTGATGTTGTATTTCCCTTCGACGTGACAAGTATTACCCCAATTATACTTGCGAAGACTTGGGAAGAAACTCGGAAACGGGAAACTGACTAACGGTACTCGCCGACATGAGAATGGCATTTCAAAGATGGGATATGTGTTCTTATTTCTGTCGTTACGAAAATGCAGCGTTTCGATTTCGCGGACTTTCCGGTCTTTTTCTTGTCATGTGCGAGGAAACGAGTGGTCTCTCCCGCGATCTTTCCTCTGTTTTTCGTCTTGTGCGAGTAAACGAGTGGTTTTGTGATTATCTCGTTTTAACAGAGTGATAGCGTTCGATGAACAAGAGAGTTTAAACCGTCTTGCCGGATATCAGTCAATGGCGGACCTGCATGCGTACATTTTAGCGTGCGGCGTTGAGATGCGTACATTTTAGCGTGCGGCGTTGGGATACCAGGTAAATCTCTGGTCTTTCGCAGCAATTTTTCTTCAGTAGCCTGGTTTCAGTACGGGTAGGAGCACCTGGTATACTTGGCATAGCGTCCCTGCCGGGTAAATCCGTCTGTGTGTGCGAGTTTTTTTTTTTCCCGAAGTGCATGATCGTCGATTCGACAGAAGAGAACAACGAAAAGAAAGAGCAGTGGAAGACTTGAGTCTGTAGCTGTATCATGATGGAGTACAGAGGATTGGACGATCCTCTGACCGCTGAAGGGAAAACATTTTTTTTTGCCCTTTCGTAACGGTAGAATCCGATCCCAACCCTTGGTCGGGGTGGGAGCACCTCTAGTATTGGCGGGAAAATGTAATCTGTACTTTTTTGTTTCCATCACGAGAAAACTTCCGTCGTATACACGAAAAGATGGGCGTTGCGGCTTCGTCGGAAGCACAGACCCACTTTTAGGGAGGGGTGCATATTTGATTTATGTCCCCAAGACCCACTCGGCCGCCGCTGGGCTCCGGCACCTCTTAGTTTTCATGTTCTTACTCACGGGTATCGTGTCCGCATTCGTCAATTCTGAGGTAGGAGTGAGGAAGTTTTAGGGGTTCCCGGCACTACAATTGGTAATATGCCCGGAAAACCGATTTGGTGATTAATCCATGTGTTCAGGGGCTGGTGACTACTCGGTCTCATTTCTGGGCGCCGTGGTGAGTCCTTATCCAGCAGTCGAATGCGTCCTGGGTATACTGTCGGGTTTCAGTCTCTTGCGCCGTCATGCTTTTCTTTGTGGAGTTGTCAATAGCGAATATGACAGCACACACACACACACACACACAGAGAGAGAGAGAGAGAGAGAGAGAGAGAGAGAGAGAGAGAGAGAGAGAGAGAGAGAGAGAGAGAGAGAACAGCTGGATATTATTTCTCAAGTGTTCTATGCGGAACCGCCAAAATTACTCGTTGAAATGTCATCAGCTTTTCCGTGTCATGTGATGGATGATGACAGGAACGCCCGTGTTCTACGGGGAAGAGGAGTGACGTTCGCTCACTTCTCTCTTGGCTGCTTTTCTCCAATAACTCTCCCATTTGTTACCCTATTTCTCGCACCTTTCTCCCTTGTTTTCCTGCCTCTTCTACTACCTTCCGAGTTCTCGCGTTTTTCTCCTCTGGTTCCTTACTCGTCTGGCTCCATTGGATTCGAGCTCGGATCAACGCAGGTCTGTATTTCCACAGTTCATGGGTGTACCAACTGCGCTAGGCCATTTGTCTCGCCTGGTTCTTTTCCCCGCCTAGGTTGCTTTTTTCTGTTGTGCGCATATTTCTATCGCTTTCCTGTTTTCTCCTTTGCGTCAGTAGTGGGGGGGTGGGTAGCGTCACCCGTTGGAAGCTTGGGCGACCGTCCCTGTTGTTTCGTAAAATATCAATACCAGGTCGCAGTGCCTGCTAGTGCATTCCAATTGAGTGCCTGGACTGATTAGTGCATTCCAGTCGAGTAGTGGAGAGTGATGGGCCCAGTCTGTTATATAAGCAAGCTGGAAACAGTAGGAGGTGTTCGCGCGTGGGGCGGTGAGGGCTGGTTGAACGTGGGGGATGATGGCGTTATTAAGGCGGAGGCGGCGTGCTTGGGGGCAGACGAGGTCGTGAGCCGGGGAGGAGAACGTCGTGAGAGGGGGAGGAAGAGGTCGCACGAGGGGTAGGAGGTCACGGGAGGAGGTCGTGCAAGGGTGAGGAGATTGCTGGAGGAGGTCGCTGGAGGAGGTCGTGTGAGGGTGAGAGGGAGAGGTACCGCAAGCCCAAGGAGGATATCGCTCGAGTTGGAGTCGCTCGAGGGGAAGGAGGTGGTTGAAGGTGGGGGATGATGACGTCATAAAGGTGGAGGAGATGGTGCGTGGGCGGAGACGAGGTCATGAGCCGGGGAGGAGGTGCGTGGGGGCCGGAGAGGAGAACGTTGTGAGAAGAGGAGGAAGAGGTCCTGCGAAGGGCAGGAGGTCACGGGAGAAGGTCGTGCAAGGGTGAGGAGATCGCTGGAGGAGGTCCTGTGAGGGTGAGAGGGAGAGGTCCCACAAGCCCAAGGGAGGATATCACTCGGGTCGTGCAAGGGTGAGGAGATCGCTGGAGGAGGTCGTGTGAGGGTGAGAGGGAGAGGTCCCACAAGCTCAAGGGAGGATATCACT